TAAAAAGTTCATTACAAAAGATTTTCAAGGTGAGAAGATATTGCGGCAGTTTGTAGTTTTCCGATTTTTGTAGCTCACGATGTTGACCTTGTGTCAGGAGAGTCATAGGCTGTATGTTGTGGCTTACTGATATTGCAACAGGTGAGAAAGAATGAAAATAATATTTTATGAATTGTATATAAAATATTTTTCCAGCTTTCTGGTTAGCTCTATAATTGCTTAGTTTTCTGTAGAAGGCGCAGATCTTTTAGAAGGCATAAATATTTGAATTTGTTTTGTTTACTCTAAACTTTCTCCAGCGTTCAGGGATAGGATATTTTGAGTCGTACAGTTTGTTCGTATTCTTGTAGATAAACATAAAAATACTTAAAATAACACTATTTGCCTGCTTAATGATGCAGACTTTACTCGTCGGTCAGAATTTGCGTTCGGGTCGCCTTTGAAATCATGGCGAAGCAAAGCATTAACAGTTACTTGCAAGCAGGTATGAGAAGAATTTTTGTCTCTGTCACTGGACACGTTCTTCTGGATTTAGGCCGCTTTAGTGTTACCTGTTGAACGCTTACGTGATAAATCATTATCGACCCCCCTCCACACTCATGTTCCACGGGAATTAACGCATCGTTTGCTACCCTCGGGAGTAAGAGGATGTTTACACGGTCACAGCGTAATGTGCTATGGTCCCGACCAACGAAATGGCCACCCATCATGCGAGTGAAGCGTCTGCTGCCCGCGAAGGCGATCTTCTATAGCTGCCAGTACATAAAGTTTGTACAGGCGGGCTCTACGGCAGACATCGTCCAACTTGCCTTCGCCTTACAAGGAACAAGCGTTCAGACATGCAATCTGGAAATTACATGTAGTGCTGACTGTTGACACGGTTCGAAGTAGTTGAAGTTGTTCGCAGAGCAGGAAGTTTTACCGTTGCTCACTGGGAAATGCGGCCCGAACACTTGAAATAACAGTTTTATTTATTTATTTTGAGAAATAAAAAAAAACAATTGATATGAAGCAGTGTGAAATTGTAGGAAAGCATAAAATTTCAAAAGATTTGATCAAAGCTAATGATGTGACATACTTAGACAACAGTACCTTGTACATTTAATTACGAATCAGTCGTTTGATACAATGAAAAAATTTCTGTTTAGGGCGTACATTGTTTCACTTCCTGTGCAACAGTACCGTGACAATCGGCAGAGACCCAAAATGTGACATCGTAGTCGCCGACGGTGCCGTCAGCCGTACACACGGTATTTTTCAAGTGTCGTTTTCTGCAGAAAAATTGGTATGTAATTTGCAGGATTTTGCATCTTGAACTTTCACTGTTTGAAAGTGTCCATTCGCTACAATAATGATTACATTCTATGTAATTGGCAATATCAATTTCATGTCCGGTTCAAACAAGTCACTACTTCAGTACGCAAATTTGATCAAGGTTCTTTCACCAGAATTTCTATATTTTCACATTCGTATGACGTAAAGGACGTGGTGCATTTCTTTCCGTTTTCTGATATAATCCGTACTGCATTTTTCGTATCTACCATTGGTCTTGCTCATGAGATATCTGCCGTTCTGGGAGGGGAAGTAGAGGAGAAGCGAAAGAAAGCGAATGAGCTGGAGAAAGGTAACAAATAGAAAAAGATAAAAAGAGTGGTGCAAGAAGAACGTAAAGAAGAATGAAGAGAAAAGGAAAAAGAAAATGATGAGACAGGGTAAAAATTGTTGCTTGGCCGGATTCGAACCCTCCCCTAGTCTTTCGACTGCGGATCTGGCTTCAAATAGGAATTCTGATCCTTTAATTATCAAGTTGATTCATTTCCTATTTTGATAGATTCTTGTGACGTTTGATAATGCGTCAAATCGGCGATAGTTATCTAAGGCGTGGATTCTCAATCCTTGAGAGAACACCTTCGTGATGGCACCAGAAAGTTCTATAAGCTGGGCCCATGTGTTTTTGGTGCCTTCTGTTTATTAAGTAGTATTATTATAGCTAAGCTTAATTTGATGAAGCCAGATTATTGCTGTCCACGTAATCCCCATATAAAGAGTACAATCCTTACTGAAACGGCGAATTTTTTTCATCTGTGCGAGGGATTAGAAAATGACACAAGGGAGCTCATTTTACTCCAGGGTTGAAGTACAGAAAGAGATTTACTGTCAATGCAATCTTTGTAAAGTGCTTAATATTCTTACGCTTCGTTTACAGCTGTCTTTCTCTCCCCGTTCATTTCAACCCTGACGACGGTTGGACGATACCTGATTTAGCCAAAACTGTTTTTCTGTTCCACGCATTTTGCTTATTTTACTACATTCGGTCATATGATTGAAGTAGTTGCGGTAGAATACATGATAAATTTTCTTAAACATGCCGTCCACCTTCGCAACAGACCAGGACTGTTCAGTCGGTAGAACGTCCAACTTGAGGAGAGAAGCCGGATTCGAGCCTTGGACCTCCTACTTACGTTTCTTTCTTTGGAGGTGAATAAACGGGTTCTATTCTGTTGCAAAGATAGAGGAGACTACTGATTATGCATAGTTGCTTTCGGTTTTGACTTTAAAGTAAGGCATTCCTTTCTAGTGAGATGAAAGTGGAGATAAGTACCACCCCATAACCTTCATATAAAGACGTACGTCACAGTTGGCCTCTAATTAGAAAACGTGTATTGAAGACCTATGTCCCAAATAGTCACAAATTTAATTATTTATACAAGAGGTAATGACGAATGATGGACAGTAATGTCGTAGGCTTTTGAAATATTTGATTGCGACATTTGGACGAAATTAAGAAATGAACAATGTTTCGGCCTTTTGGATAATTAAGACCTTGAAAATCTGACGTATTAACATTTCCTGTAAGAATTACAGATCGATCAGTTTGTTACGATCATGCACAGGATCTTCACGGAGATAGCGACAAACAGACTTAAAGAAAATCTGGATGCTGCACACTCAAAGGAGCAAACAGAAATCAGAAGCAGATTTAATACGAGGGATCATCTCCAGGTAGTACAACATAAAATTCAGACAAGCAAAGAATGTTAGCTGCCACTATCACTACAGTTTGTTGTTGAAGCTTTCGAATCAATCTATATCCGGTCTGTAGTTGGTTCATTACAGAGGCAGGGGCTCTGGTGTGAAGATTCAAGGTAGCATACACAAGATCAGAATCGACACGAAAACGCTGTATCTCTTAAGTTCTTCATAGGAGCCATAGAAGAGGTTTTCAAGACACTCCACGGGAAAAATATGAGCCGGAATATGAACAGACAGTGCTTAAACCACTTGCAGTTTGCGGACGATGTTCTGATCCTCTCAAGGCGCCATCAAGAGAGCTCCAAAGAGTATCTGACCGAGTGATGCACGATGGTAGCGTAAAAGTAGAGCTGAAAATCAACCGAACAAGTTTCAGGTCATGATTAACAAATATTTGACCACGCGACCTGTTGAAGGAATACACTTGAAGAAGCGCAAAACTATGTCTGTATGGGGCACTTCCTCTTTGCAATTGAGAACCTACTATGAGAAATCAACGGAAGAATAAAAATGGCATGGAGCGCTTTTGGAACACTGGAAATGTTCCTATGTGGAAACTGCCTCTGTGCACGAAACAGTAAGCTTTCGCTCAGACATGCTGCCATTGTTAAGCTCTGGATGATAGACGTGGTCCCTAAGCCTGAAAGCTGTTCATAAACTGCTGACTACGTCACGTAGCGCGGAAATATGTATGGCTGGAATAACATGAAGAGATTGGAATATGGATAAGAATACAAACAAGAGACTACGATGTCATTTCGCAAATGAAAAAGTTAAAGTGAAAATGCGCGCGGTCTGTTGCAAGAAGAACTGACCGTCGCTGGACTAGGGGGACATTAGTTTGGGTTCCAAGAGATAGTATTCGACCTCCAAATCGATGGCAGGATGAGCTAAATAAGTTCGGTAGATCAGAATAGATGAAAATTGCAGACAACATAAGTCTATCGCGAAGTCTTGGTCAGGTCTTCCTTCAGCAGTGGATCGATAAAAGAGGATGATGACGATCGTGTGCAGACATTTGTATTCATGTTTCAGCTCACTATCTGAACGGTGGTATTTATCCTGTCAATTGTGTTATTAAGTAATTCTTATTTTCACACTTGATAAGCTGCATGATTACAGGTTATAATTGCAGAACTCAGTATATAAATATAATGTCGGTGTTCCTTACACTTTCATGATGTAACCATTCTGGCACTCTTCTTTTTATGAAGTTAATGGTGGGCACCACTGATCCCTATTTCTGTCCCATAAACCACGAGTGCTTTATTGTTGAAGCCAGAGTCGACACCAGCTATGTAGCAGGCATAGTGTTATAGTAACCTGTTTCCTCTCTCAGAGTTGCACTCATTCGTCAAACTCAGAAAGAAGGAATGCGAGATTTCCCACCAGAGCTCGAACCGGCGACCTTTTAGTTGAGTCAGACGCTCTACCGACTGGACAGCCTCGGTTCGTGAAGCAAATTTATTATTAATATAGTGGTTTACCTGATGATTGATCGAATCCTTAATGAATGCTGATATTTCGCCTTTGGCCTGTCACCTAAATAGACCATTATATTGCGTCATGTAATATTAAACGTTTTGTGTGCTGCCCTTTTCAGTATGACCATCAGCGGCGGACATACAGAATACTCCCTCTGCACGGTGCTCATACTCATCATCCGGTATTATGAGTTTACTACCAAAGCGCATTCATTAGATACCGCTGGTAACGATGGTATAACAGTCACTCGTCTCCTTATACTCTTCACTAAGATATGTAAATCGTGATAAGTGACAGGTGCGAGCACATGATATTTTTGCAACTTTATTGAATATGTGATACTGTTATTGTATTTTTTAGCATGATGCATCTGCGCCTCCCGTTGTCACCTTCACGGACACTTCTAGTTTCGGGACCTTCGTCGACGAAAAGAGGCTGGAAAGAGATGTTGCCTCTCGCGTCGAGGCTTTTAAAAAATTCCGCATTGGGACCACGTTTCTGCAGTTAGTTTTTGATATTTCTTTAATGTTGCTTTGTACGTTATTGGAAGATTATGGTCTGTTTAGATTTTATACTGATAGCTAAAAATTAATCAATCATATTTGCAGTTATTCAGAACAGACAGTGTAATGAAAAGGTTTTACGTTACGTTCTTTTGTAGCATAGAGAGTTTTTCTTGCCATTAAGCTCTCTTGCTTACTTAAGCACAGAGGTTTACCTTTTAGCGGGAGGGCGGTAGTAGCTAACCTTGGACTAATGGATTATTCTGTGAGATAACAACAGCAAGGTAACCTTGTTGAATGACGGGCTACACTTATCACTTTGTGCATCCGTTTATAAGCATAAGTAGACTTTTAGTTGGTGGCACTGCCAGCCTCCCCCCGCCTGCCGCGACCTATTTGTCTCGCCACTTATAGAGGTGCCTCTGAGACCTCTAACGAATAACGCTCATTGAAAATGAACGGATGAAAACGAGTAAAATTATTAAACGTTTATACATTTTCCTGTTTAGGCTCGCCTATGAACCGATGGACGTGCTTTGTAGCTGCGTAAATGCCAGCGACAGGTTGGAGCTGGAGCAGTCACTTATCACCCTAGGAGGTCATTTGATCGATGATATGTCACTTCAGATCAGCCATCTGTGCATGTCTACGGTTAAGATAACGTCAAAGGTAAGTCATTAGTGTTGATTCGGTTCAACTGGACAACACGTTACTTGCGTCACCCCCCCGGATTGTTGGGATCTTTGAATTGTGCCAAAATCGTCCCATCAGCCGATTTTAAAAAGTCGGAAATGAAATTTTCCTCTACCTGTTGGTTTTACTTCAGAACATATGGTTTGGGAAGTTACCCTCGTGTTTCTCACCAGCAGAACAACGGAAGGTTTATTATTAGAAGGATCTGCTAGCTGGCACGAGACAGTAAATCTCTACAGTTCTACAGTTCTTTGGCTTCAGGTTCATAGGCTAGGATATTTCAATACACGTTTGATACCTTTTGGTATAATCGAAAACATTGCTTTTTGTCACATGTTCAAAAAGGTCATCTAAAGCCACCATCTCTGATTAATCATAATCGTAATCCTTTCCGACCAGGTTTGTACGGTCAGTAGAACGTCAGACTCAGAACCGAGAGTCCCGGTCGGGTCACTCGTTTTCCTTCTGAGGTTGATAAATAAGCATCGCTTTGTGGGAAGGAAATAAGAGACTACACGCTACTCTGGCCACATAGCTGCTGTCAACAATAATCCTTTCTCGGTCCCTTATTGTCCAGTTTGGACGTCGACATATTACGAATTTTATCAAATTTAGCTTTTTCACTGTACTTTGACAACATT